TTTATATTACACCAACATGAACAATATTAAAGAACGTGACGCTGGCGCTAAGCCACATCCCCTGGCACAAAAAAAAAAAGCACCCCAAACATGCACTGTCATCTAAATTAAACAGAACATCAACTACATCTTCAGATTTAATTACAACAAAAATGCAATGAGTCGTCGATACCATGCGAAAAAAAGGTTCACATGCACTCACGCAAATCAAATTGATAAATAAATCCTATCCATTTTATAATGAATATCAGTTGATATTCATTTGATATTATCATCATTGATCTAATAATCAAACGAAATAATCAATTAAAACAAATTTATCATCGTCGTCGGCTTGACACCTCGAAAAAGAGAACGAAATTCACTAGTCACGCGATCAAAATAGACGGATAATAGATTTATCACTTTTTAATGACAAATCAGTCTGATATCATCCATTTGATTATCATCCATTTGATTAAATATCAAACAACAATAACAATCAAACAATTTATCTTGTTCGAGCACATTGACACCGCGAAAAGACAGAAGCGCCCGCTGTCTCGCAAGATTCAAAACAACAACAAAATAATTAAAGAACCTGCTGCCCCGCGCGAGCGGCCGAGCACTAACGACGTGGGGGCAAAAAAAGAAAAGGGCGAAGGCAGGATGTCCTGTCCCCAGAAATTAAAATAAGCACTAAAATGAAGAATCTTTAAAAAAAAAAAAAAAAAATAATGAGAAAAACCCGCGAACGCAGAGAAGAGAGGAGAAGAGAAGAGGAGGGAGGCTGAGCAGGACGACCCACGCGGGGCGGCGGAAACGCGAGACAACTTAGGGAGAACAGAGGTTCGCCCTGGCAGGGGTGGAGGCCAGACGGAGGCGACCGGCGCCGGCCCGGCCTCACTTCATGTACTTGTCCTGCTGGTCGGCGAGGATCTTGGCGGAGGACTTGGCGTCGTAGAAGAGCTCGCTGATCTCCTCCACGTGCTCCTTCTCGATGCCGTCCTTGCCGTTGATCTTGGCCAGCAGGTGGGCCGGGGTCAGCAGCTGCACCGAGTACCTGGGGGGGGCCGAGGCGGGGACGGGGCGACACAGTGAGACCCAGCCTCAAAAAATAAAAAATAAATAAAGAAAAAAAGAAATAATAAAAGAAAAAAAGAAAATAATAATAATAAAAGGTCCGGGCGCGGAGGCCCACTCCGGGAGGCCGAGGCAAGAGGCTCGCTCGCTCGAGGTTCAGAACCGCGAGAGCAGCCTGAGCAAGAGCGAGGCCCCGTCTCTACTGAAAACAGAAATAAATGAATCGGCCGAGTGATATATATAGAAAAAATTGAGCCGGGCGTGGTGCCCCAGGCAGCCCCAGCACTCTGAGAGGCCGAGGAGGGAGGATCGCTCGAGATCAGGAGGTCGAGGCCGGCCCGAGCAAGAGCGAGGCCCCGTCTCTACTGAAAACAGAAATAAATGAATCGGCCAAGTGATATATATAGAAAAAATTGAGCCGGGCGTGGTGCCCCAGGCAGCCCCAGCACTCTGGGAGGCCGAGGAGGGAGGATCGCTCGAGGCCAGGAGTTGGAGGCCGGCCCGAGCAAGAGCGAGACCCCGTCTCTACTGAAAACAGGAAGAAATGAATTGGTCAGCCAAAAATATATAGGAAAAAAAAAACAAAAAACGAGCCGGGCGTGGTGGCGCATGCCTGTCATCCCAGCTACTTTAGGGAGGGAGGCC